GTTGAAGTGCATTCACGATTTCTATCCAGGCCTGATCGATATGATAATTTACCAAATATATCAATTAGTAGGCGGTTTCCCATCAAAATTTCTATCATCACGTATTGGTCAAAACATATTCTTTCACATGATCGGTAATGAGAGCTTCCATTTCATTTGTTGAGAGGGGGGGGGCAGTTTCAAAACTGGTCTATACCTTTAATCTACAACATGTCATTTACATTCTCTAATATTAATGAATTCAAATCAGAGAAAGATATTGATATAGCACAGGAACTAAAGAATGGAGAATCACCCCTTTGTTGGCTAACCAGGAAAAGGCAGTAGCAGCTATGTTTTGTTGATGGCAATAACTGCTTTATTATGGGCAGCTGATGACTGTACTATATTACCTTCTTTAAGACATATAATTTTATTTCTGTGTGGCATTTCTGAGTATGATCTTACACAATGTCTTGAGCATCAAAAGAAGACTTTCCAAGCAGATGCAAGACTCTTTATAAGACTTCATTTGAGTTCAGAAGTGCAGATAAGACTAGGCATCCCCTCAATATAGATGACACTGGTGGCAAAACAAATCTATTAGGTCTGTCTGAATGTATCCATCATTTCACGTTAAGTTAATGCACTAGGCAAAAGAGTCGGTTCGGACGAAAATCAGTGATTTGAAGAACACAAATTAGTCCCCTCAAGAACCTATTACAAGTTCCTACTTAAATTCCCAAAAGGGTTTTTATAAATCATAATTTCATCTTCCTGTTTATTCTAAATCTCATCACATATTTTCATTATTTTAAGATTAAACTTGTCACTATTCATATAAGGCTAGGCATAATGTAACATTTAATGGAAGTGAGTCGTCAGCTTTCATCTTGCACTAAAAGAAAAAATCTGTGGTTAAAAAAGATGTACTAGAGGATAGAAAGGGTTACCTTTTCCCCTCCAGTTTCAGCAATGGAAGATTTTTCTTTTTGAGATATACTCTTCTTCGAAAATAGTATGCAATGAATGTGAGAGTTTGAGAAATGTGTTTTGAAATACTGCCAAAGGTGTGGCCAACTTGTGTAAAAACGAAAAGATTCAGTACTGCAAACTTGAAACACTATGAGAATAATATCTGTCTCTCTCTCTTGGTAAAGAATGAGTCTTCTAACCCTAGGTCTGTCTATCAATATAGATTTCATTGATATTTACGACAGGCGGCAATTTTCAAGAGTAAAATTTATGATTTTTCAATTTGAGAAATGCACATTGATATTAGCTCAAAACTTGAAGGCAATCTAATAATGTGTGCAAATCAATAACAAGAGTTCTGCTATTACTTGCAACTCTACATTATACAATAATTGTTAAATGTCACAATTTCCATGGCCTAAATTAAAAAATAGCAGCTGCTGAGAGCCAGAGAGTTATTAACTCATATTAATTCAGATAGGGATACGGCCTTCTGGCTCTGAAACAGATTATCTACATATATTACAACACACCATAGAATCCACCTGTCTATAGTGGTCATCTACATATCAGAGATTAAATGCATGTTTAAAATCTGTATAGAAGGACAATCTGTGTAGAACTGCAACCTGACTAGAGTGGCCATTTCTACTGCTTATGGTGGATGGTCTTTACATACAGGTTTGATTGCATTATAGACATACCTTGGACAAAGCAAAATCACCAGACTATTCTTAAAAGAGCTATTTCTTTAAAGCAGAACCTGTCTAGAAAGGCCACCTGACTACAACTGTTTACATTCCACGGCCTTTATAGACAGGTTTGTCTGTATTACAACCACCATTCAATTAATGGAATGATAAAACAAAATCACCAGCTTTGGCATAATTGGGCTATATCTTCAAAGCAAACTGAATAAAATTTTTGATGTATCTCATAATCTACATTCAACATGTCCACATCTACCCAAGATGTATACCTAAGATAAATCTAAATGAAACCTAGTGATGTCACAATGAAAACCTAGTGATGTCACAATGAAAACCCAGTGATGTCACAATGAAAACCTAGTGATGTCACAATGAAAACCCGTAATAGACACTACATGTAGGTAAAGGTCATGCTAATACAGTACAACACATGAGTATTCTAAAGATGATTACAAAACTCGTTAACGGGATGTTATATCAATTGTTTATTTCTAAAAACAGACCTACAGGTAGTCCCTCATTCATATAACTTGTTATCAATAACAAGTTACAATAACTGTATTAAAGCAACTGAAAAATACTTCTTTTGATTGGCTGAGAGCAAGTTTGTTATTGATAACAAGTTGTATGACCCAGAGCAAACAACAAGAAATTAAATCTGGAACTACATGTGAATTTCAAGAACATTAGGCTCTTTAGAAGACCTTTCAGAAGCTACAAAACCTTGACAATATTTATGATCACGCATTTACTTTTTTTCAAGTGCTGTTCATGCTCACCTCTTGTCAACTCATTCAAATATATGTCTTCCAATGAAATATATATAGTCACTAGATTCCTCATTTTCTATTGCTCCCCCTCTATTAATACTCAAAATGAATTCAATGTTTTTACTAAAGGGCTTTATTAACTCAAAAGGGTATAATGAACTACAAATCAATCAATAATTGTGCATTAAGTCTCCTAAAACTATTCAAGACCATTTAATACAGTCAAAACTTCACATTCATCACTAAAATAGTTCTTCCGATATCAACATTCTAAAGTAATCAATGATATTGGAAATGGCCAGGGCAACGTCCTATTAAATGAAAGCACATTTAAAATAAAAAAAGCACACAAGTAAATTGGAAGCCTTCTGAGAAATTAAATTCCTCTCCCCGTTTTATATAAATAAATGTTTTGTAAATACATCCGGATGCATTAGCTTTGGCATACAAGTGCATGCTACATTTCATTTCATTTTGTCTTCATGTCCTCAGAGAGCGGATTGGAAATGCAGACATAATTCATTTGCTCCATCCTAATGGACTATTTTAGCACCATGACTATTTGCACGTCATGTTATTAGCAGCCTCCTGATGAATTTCATTAGCAGCAAAATCAAATCCTTTTCCTCTCGGTAATCCCCTCCTTTCATCCATTTTTGTAAATTTTTACAAGCCTATCCTCCCCCATCCTTTAATAATCAAAGGCTCTTAAAATTTGTTGGTGCATTTAGATATTTATTTAGGAGTAAGCTATTCCTCATATTTCAAATAAATTTGTAAATGAAAGCAGATTTGATTAGTTTGGAAATATATAAATATCTAATGGGGGTTGACAGCCTTTTCATTTCAGAGTGGACTGGTAGTGGATGGAAAATTAAAATGCATTCATTTGGATGGAAATTGCTTTGTTTTTTTCAATGAAAGAAGAGTGAATCCTGTTTTTTATTTTGACAAACATTTTCAATTAAATTTCAGTAATGTAGTAAATAGCACCCAGTATAACAACTGCACTTGTATTTGCTGTTCTACTAAAAGTGATTATCTTAATGAAAATCATGACTCCATATGTCATACAAATCTATGTTATTTATCAACATTTAAGTCAAGTGCTGTCAATAGATTTAAAGAAAGATTTTGTCATTTTTTACAACATTTTGATGATCCAAATATTCAAAACTAAATAATCAAACATTCATAATAACAGTGTCTTCAACATTGGTATTGCCTGACCTTTACTCAACATCACCTTAAATCCGGTAGGTTCTGACATCAGAGCCTTGTTGCTCCAAACAGAATTTATACACCGTCTAGCGGACAATACCAAGAGATTTCACCATGCTCAGTACATGATCCTTTCCAATCATTGAATGAACTATATCCCTATCCCCCAAAATACACCAGTGACCACAGTCTGCAGCCATTGCTAAAGGTCGTCGCGAACACTTGCTGCTCGTCTATTGCCAAGGGAATGGGGTAGAGTATATGTGTCTTGGGTTACAGTAAAACTCAAGCACTTCTCCCCCCCCCCCCCCCTTCCACCCACACCGACCCTCTAAGGGGACGGTGAGTAGACGCCAACGCAGGGAGTGCAGGGCTACGACTGGCTGCCCCAACCCCTTGGGGACCGTTGCCGAAAAGGTTAGAGGGGGGAAGAGCTGCACGGCGTGGCACAGCGTGTCAACGTAAGCAGAAATAATCAAAAACAAATCCAATTCTCTACTTTTGTTCTTTTTTTCACATGGACGCTGTTACGTGATACTGCTTGAAGTGATGTGGATCTAAGTTCATTATGAGGAAAGCGCCATGAATAATGCCAGTTGAAAGTGTATAGCAGCAATGGATCAACAGAAACAAGCATGATGGTTTCTGCATCCTCACTAAGCCTATGCTAAGAAAAGGATAACTTTCATAGCATTTTCTATTTACTTTTTGTTTGCTTTTACTACGGATGGGGGATATATGATGATGAAATTTCTTAAATATAATCCTTGGAGAATGTCATGTCTATGATGATTTGGAAACTATGTAAGAAGTAAAGAAGAACCAAAAACTCAAACTTATATTTTGAAGAAATCAGGAGGATACAATCAAGTCAACTCAAGTTTTCTATTTAAATCCTTTATAAGATAGGTTCAAGTGAAAATGACTCGAAAATTTTACCTTACACTTACATTTTCAATAACAAATTCCTTTCCATTTGCTAATTTTAGTGAAACTATCATTTTAGCTATGTCACCATCTATACAAAACGGGTAAAAATAATTTACACTAAAAAAAATCAATGATTTTATTTTGTGTGATATTTAAATTAAAACTTGATTTTTTTTTTCAAAAAGGAATGCCAACAAAAAGTCTGATGCTTTGAACTTAAACTTAAACATTATTTTGTCTGATAAGAGCCGGAAGAGTATTGACTCATATGACATAGAGTTAATGCCCTTCTGGCTCACAATAGACACATTTAACCTGTTGAGTACTGAACTCTCCCATTTTTATACAGGATCCAACATGTTCCCGTATTCAATGGGTTAAGTTTACAATAAAATGCATGGATAAGAGAACTTACGACAGAGATACAGCATTCACAGTCTCCAAAGTGTGTCTGCGCAATCAGCTCATTGTTCCTCTGGTGTGCATTGAGCAGATGATCTTGGGCATGTACAGCAGCCATGATCCCTGGCACGCAACTGGCCTCAACATGGCCGCCAAACGCCTGCTACAAGTACAAGCGCCATCTCATCAAATTCAAAATGCGTTCAGACCGCTTCTACTGAGTAAGTTAACACCTCGTAGATACTCCAAAAGCTGAGAACCCTGTAGACAGGGATCTCAGGAAATATATTCAAAGCTTCGCCTCCAAGAATGTTCACAAGAGTAGGTTCCGAGAAAGAGTATGTTCCCTGTTCGCCCAAGTTGAAGTGTGAAGCACAATACGACAAACGAAGGTTTAAATGTGCAATTCAACCTCTAATACAGCAGAGAACTTTACTGTGGTCTTTTCCCCACAATGCTGACAAAATCACTCTCCAATTTCAGTATAAAAAAGCATCTTTGACAGGCAAATACCGTAGATGTCTTCTTTTTCTTCTTCTTCAGTCCGCAAATAAACGACTGAATTTACTCACAACGACCACAAAGTTATCACCAATCCACTACATTTTCGATTTGCTCTTCTCAGCTTTCTTGGGCTGTGCAGAACTCCTTGTTAACTGATGCCTCACTTTGGAGGAATGTGCGTGACAGTCGTTTATTTAAGTTTGGTAAAGCTCGTATTGATCGCTCTCTTCTAATGAGCGAGGTGGATTTCTTCCCCGCTAGTATTAACAGTCTCGATTTCGGATTGCACCATTCCCTTTCCTATTCGGTCTCTCCTTTTCTCTCCCTGTCTCTCTGTTTTGTCCACCCTTATCCTGCCCATGTGCCGCTTGGCTCGGAGTGTATCAAGTTCTCTAGTGCATGGCCCATGTCGGACATGCACTCGCATAAGGACTCTGGCACGAACTTTGTAATTTACACCCTACCCAGGCTGATCAACTTCTTCATGTTTTCAACCTCCGTCGAGAGGAAAAAAAAGATGGGAAACTTTCCTTACAGGTGCCTTAGCAAGACAGCCCTCTGAAGAGAAGCAATGCTGTAAAAGATCAAATCTAGTTTCAGACTTTTCTACCTGTGTCCAACTGATGAATACACCTCCAATTTACAGGTGGAACGGGGGAGAGAATTGAGTCACAGGTTTTTCTCACTTTCGTATTTTTGGGAGAGGTTCTTGCTCCAGATATTCAAGAAGTTTTTCTCATCTGTTATTCAGAGACACGAGATGGAAAATTGGGTCTGGCAATCTAGGTTATACAGACCCACCCACCATCTAACTCGTCAATATTCCAGAGCAGTAACCGGTAAGCACCCATTTCGAATAGAATGCGCTATGAGCTTTTTCACTGTCTGCGATCTTTTCATTACAATTCAGCAAATCGTCCACTAAAAGGAATGGGCTTCCTGCCTTCATCCATAGATGCCTAGCTCTCAAAAACAAAAAGGCAAGAGTTGGCAGAGAACGTTCACTCGCAAATGAATGACGTGAACTTAGTGTCACTCAAGGTAGTGTTCTCTTAATGGAAGAACAAAGCCAACTTTAATGACTTGACTTCAGAACCCCATCAGTCTCTCTGCACATAACATTTCTTTGCTTTTATATGCAACTGCTTTTACGTCTCAGCATTAATTCACTATACCATGCATTTCACATCGCAGTTTACAGGGACATAGTTCATTACTTCATATCTTGTAAAAGAATCCTTTGTTGATTCCACGATAGCATCGCAAGATCCTGTCCTCCTGCAATGTTCATTAAGTTCCTTACATTCCATGTAACACCCAATGACAGACAGCAAAACTAATGTTCTGGCTGATCGAAGGAGAGAAAATATACTCTCCAAATTACGATAAATTCCAAGATTCTTGGCCCTAGTTTTGTCAGCAAATCAATGGCCGGCTGTTAACTGACTGAGCAACGTTGAGGGTGGGCGAGTCTCAGAGAGAGCAGGCTCCACGATGTCTGAGGGTCGTTTCACAATGTCGAGGGGGACTTACCCTCACGCATCATCGCAGCAATCCACTTCCCGAAGATTCAGCCACACATTAACGCAAATATTTTTCATGCCTCTCTTCGTGTGCACATTCTTGCACTGATTACGATGAAGAGGCAATAAACAGAACAAGTGGTTGCAGGCGGCTGAATTCCACTCAAAATGTGATCCTGTTTCTCTAATTTTGCTTAAAATTCAGCTTTGCAAAAGTACCCTTCAATATATGATACTTCTCCTTACAAAATCCTGCATCATGGCAAGGGAATATAATATATCCATCGGCTTTGCACCATTCAAACAAATATTCATAAATTCTGTAGTTAGAGACGTGAAGACGATTAAACTGCCAAGATCGTCAAAAGGTTTCATGTTCTGTTACATGGATAGAATTATTCATACACGTGTTATTTCCTTGACAAAGCTGGGGTATTTCTTGATGTACAAGTAACAAGGTTAAACTTTTAAGTAGCAGCTTCACAATCTTATTTTATTTCATTCATAAGCTCTGAAATATTCTTCCAAGATGATTTGCTTATGAAACATTTTTGCCTTTCACTGGTATTTTTCATCTCATTGCTAGCGAGAAATAATGTTTTTTTAACAGAATCAAAAGCAAAAGGCCATGACCGTGGTCTAATAAACTTCCAGTCATTAAGTCTAATTCCCTTTGCTTTGCATATTCTGTTGTAATCCTCTTGTTTTACGACAGACGAGTTGGCGACATTCCCTTAACGTGCACTTCCGATTACTTCAGAGCTCCTGCAGGGTAAAACTCATTCCAAGGTGGATGGCCGACTTTGAGAGAAGTGAAGCAGAAGAAGTTCAGAATTAGTAATTGATGGCAGCATCTAACGTCTCTAACTCAATGCTTGAAATATCCTTGTTGGATCTCTGTAAATAGTGATTTTCTTTCTTTTCTTCAAAACCCTTTGCAATTATTCATCCTTGGGCTGCCTTCAATTCCTAATCAGTAAAATTTTGCCTTACTCCTGATTACCTTTTTTTTTCTGAACTTGGTCACTAAAATTCACTTCTGGTTTTACCTCGTTAGAGGAAAAAGGAAGAGTTATTCAGGAAATTATATCTTTAAATTACTTACTTCCTTTAACAAAGGGAGTGATTATTTGAGTCCTCTCATTTGTGTGAAAACAGGAAAATGTGTGTCACAAGTGAATACTGGAGACGCGATTGTTTTGCTCGTAAGAAAATGTAATTAAGTATAGTCATTCCATTTATTGTCTCAGGGAAAATCCAAATAAAGTGTTCCCATCAGTGCTCCCTTAGAAGTACCCCACAGACAATTACAAGGAATTCTCATGAAATGCTGGAGATATTTGAGACGTAAGATGCTAATGGAAGCCCCAATTCAAACCGCATCAGAAGCATATGTCTCCATGAAAGCTCTCTCCTTACATTAACTGAAACACTATGAACAATTACATTTGCATGATCCCTTCTATGTCATTCAATGCATTATTATTATTTCAAACAACATCATCTCATAAATTTATCTTCAGGCGTTGGCGCAACACTTCTTGTCGCTCTCAAATTTCAGGATTTTCGACTGGTGAACTAAGCAACCAGGGGTAGATATTCATGAGTTTGCTCACTCTGTCTATGATATATGAGTACATGTATAACCATTTATAGCAGATGGGGGAAAAGACTTCGCTAGGAAGGCGAAGAAAATCTATGAATTGAGCCTGCGCCACAGTAGCGGTAGGGAATCGCTGCTCATTTATTAACGACGGATTTTCGGTGAGTGTGTTGATTATCTGCACCACTTTATTAGCGAGAGAACTAACACCTCAATTATGATGGCAGCGTGACACAATGGTAAGGTTGTAGGAACGCTAATGGAAGAAGAATGCTCTCTGTGGCTTGCGAATGATGGATTTTTGTTTCAGAAATAGATGGGACTATGAATGGTCCACATTAGCGGCATATGCTTGTTTCCAAATGAACTGTATTCACACTTTCACATGAACACGTTGCCTCATTTTAATGTGATTCCTCCAATTCTGACACTTTTAGCAGTTCCAATTTGAGAGCTGCTGGTTTTCCAAGTTAAATGTGTTCACACTTTGACATTGATGGTAACAGATTGTGAAGATGAAAAAAATTATGTTGTCTAGAAAGGCATTAAATGTGAAGATGTAGATAATGCAGTTTAAAAGGATTGTTGCTCGATGAGAAGTTTGCTATCACTTGTAGAATATTTGCTAGAGAAGGGCATATATGAACAGAACTTATTATCCAGTCAAACAGTCAAAGGTAGGTACTCGGTGGCCATTATTTCAATCATAAATCAAGAGCGAGTATAATAGATGTCAACGAAGCGTGGGACAATTCTTGTTTAAAAAACACATACGAATAAAGATGATGAAACCGCTAAGTTTACTGAGAAAACAGATGTTTTCTTTGTTCCTGCTGCGATGGCATTGGAATTCATTTCATACAGAGAAAAGTCAGGTGTGCTACGTCCTTGCCTCTGTTCTGTCAATGCTCAGGTCCATGGGAATTGTGGTTATGAGTGAAAAATGGAGGGACTTTAAATACCCCTCCTCTGTGACATCACAATCATGAACTTGAAGCTTTAATGCGTTTTGAAAAGTGCTGTAACCCCGTGTTCTCGCTGGTATCACGCAAGAAGCTCAATAAATGAAGGATGATAAGAAGAAAAAAACGTCCCAAGGTAAGGATCTCTTCAAACTAAGTGAAATTCTGATCACATTACATCTTAAGGATTAACACCCAGTGCACACCGTGTCCCGAGTATGTATTGTGTAGTCCCACATGCAGACTCTTGTGTTTGTGAAGCTTGTGCGGTAGCGGGGAAATCTGAAGTACAATTATCCTCTGCTCATGTTGATTGCGTCTGTTTATCTATCACTCGATGGCGATGCGGGTGGGGGGTATAAACCATCACCACCTGTAAGAGACCGAATCTATTCCCAGACTGCCCCCTGATGAATTTGTGGCTAGAAAATCACTCCGCAGCCAGACATCACCACTTTGTCCAAATCAATTCCCAATTCGTAGTATTTCTGCATTTGAGGGAGAGAGAGGGAGCGAGTGAGCTGATTTATGAGTATCTATCCCTGTGGTCTATGCTGTATCCCACTGCCAGCGTTACAGCGGCGTGCGACCTGTATTGCACTGTGAGCAATCTCAATACTACTGAGGAATGTCGCGCTGATTCCAAATCGATGTTGACAAGATGACGAGCAGAAGCGATGACGACGCGGACCTTCTCGTTACCGATGACCTCCGTGACCTTGTCTATCGGGCATGATAGGCCAAGGGGAAGAGCAACCACCGATCACAAACACCACTCCTCAAGTATCGAATGTCGCTATTGATCCAACATGCCTGTTCTAACTATGTGTCAAGCTGACAATAATCGAAATGAGCTTAAGCCGTAGCGAGGCAGCTCCCTCGGTTCAAAGTTTGCGGGATTGGGCAATCTTCAAACGTGCATGTTACAGGCCCGGAGAGCTCTTCTCTTGTCACACAATCAAAGCGATATGCACAAGGCCTGGTGAAAGTAGGGCATGCTCATCAGCTGTGATTGGATAATACAGTGGCGATTGTCCACTAATCCCTTTTTGGGACCGGCGTTCCTCATGGCCAGCTCCAAACAGACAACGGTCGTATCGCTGGCGAGCAGATTATGATACAGGCTACAGGTTGGAAATTAGGAGGAGGGAGATAGAGGCAGAGAGACGGCGAGGATGCTTAAACGGAGATGACGGGAGAGGGGATGGAGAGAGAGAAAGAGAGGTGCAGAGAGACACAGAATTCAACCCCGAGTGCTTTGTGTGTGCATAATTGATGCCTACAGCACCCACTGTATGCCGATTTGCCAAAATGCCAGTCCACATGACCAAGCCAGGGAAACACGTCCAGCCTCGCTACCGAAATGAGCATACACGTGTGTACCCCCATGCACAGAGTTTTCAATGCTTTTCTTTTCAGGGGGATTGTAGTGGGTTCATGTGTGTGGGTTCATGTGTGAGTGTGTGTGTGTGTGTGTGTGTGTGTGTGTCTTCGCGCTTGTGAAGATGGAGAAGGAAGAGGAAGAGGAAGCGCGACCCAGTGTGAAAGAGAACACTGATCACCGAACTTAGCATTCCACCACTTGGGACCAGATTAATAGAATTGAGAGTTACATATATGTGGGTGGGTATTAAGGCTGTATATGTGAATAAGGGTGATAGCATAGAGTTGGAGTGGAATGGGGAGGAGAGAGGGGGAGGGCTATGATTAAAAAAAAAACCAGCCCCTTTTCAAATTGTCACCATAAATATTACATCTTTACATCTTAAATCTCTTGATTATTACTTTTTCATTGTTGTGCCTGTAATAGTTGTTCAAATATTGCCTTCCCTTATTGAGTTTTTTTGTAATTTTCCGCTTTTCATATAACCTTCATCCACTCCCCCCCCCCTTCTCCCTCTTTAACTATCTTTTTATCTATCTTTCTTTTTTAATTGATCTATCTCACCACTCCTAATCTCTCTTTCATGATCTTTCTGTCTTTCTTTCTTTCTGTCTGTCTTCTTTCCCCATGCCTTTCTCTATGCTCCTCTCTCTCTCTCTCTCTCTCTCTCTCTGCCTCTTATCTCCCTATATGGATCTCTCCCTTTCTATGGCGCCCTGTCTTTCTTTCACCTTCTTTCCCCAATTATTTGTTCATGTTTAATGTGTGGTGTCGTGCTTCAACATTCGTCTTGTGCACACAGTAGGATATGTGACAGTGAATGAAATATGTGGTTTCCTACCCTCCTGTGGTTTGTACAGAGAATCGAAAGCAACAAGACAAATATTTCAACTTCCACTCCTTACAAATATTGCTGCTCCGTTCTACATCTGTGTCTATGATTCTTAATTTTTATCAGGTTTTTTTTTCAGTCACTATCCTTTTTTTTTAAATACTTGAAGCTTCCATGCATTAATTGTATCTTTCTCATCAACTCACCTGTTTACACACCCTCTCCCCCTCTCTTTTTCTCCCTTCTCCACCCATCCCCCCCCCCCTCTCTCTCTCTCTCTCTCTCTCTCTCTCCTTTTTCCGTCTCTCCCCTCCTTTCTCCCTCTCCAAGAAAAAACAAACAAACACAGATCTTCTTGAACACATTCTATTAACAACTAAATCTATCATCTGTTTTCTTAGTTAACTGTCTATCAAATCATCTATCAGTCAACCATCCTTAAATCTATGTTCCAATCTATCTATCTGTTTGGAGTTATATCTCTATTGAACATAATAATGTCGTCCTCTACATTACACAAAAATCCATTACAAGGAAATTTTCGCCTCCCACTTTAAATCAAGATAATGTGGACTTACACTTTATCCTCGGCTCATCAACAAGATCATATTTCTCTTTTCTTTTTCCCTTTCGTTCTCACCCATAAACGACAAGCCCCGGTTAATTCACTAATGGCCCCTAATTATTGATCAAAATCTTGCTGGTAAATTGCCCTTCCCACCGACACGACAGGAAAGGCGACAACCTCCCCGGGCAAGAGCCAAACCGTTTCGGCGATGTCTCTGGCATTGATTTTTCCAGACATAGAGCATGCTCCGTGAACTTGAGGAAGGCCATTTAGCAGGTTAGAAGCCACTTTCCCCCCTTGTAAAGAGCCCGTCGTGATGGGGTCAAAGTGCTCCTTTTTCACCCATCCTGTCTCCCATCCCCCCCCCCCCCACCATCTTTATTCTTTTCTTGATGGAAGTGATGGAGATTGCTCTTGCTTTGTAGAGCAAGGATACTTGAGACTACACCTGAAGGCATTTCCCATCAAGTTCTTCAGGCAGCGATTTCTTCCAGAAAAAGGTGTTTTAAGAACAGGTGGCAGAGTCAGGTGATAACGAGAGAGCATTGGGTGAGCTGGTAGGTGGAGGGGAGGAGAGGAAAAGGAAAGGGTGGAAAGTGAAGAATGGAGGAGACTGTAGGAGGAGAAGGAGGAGAAGGAGGAGGAAGAGGAGGAGGAGAGGAGGAGGAGGAAGAGGAGGAGGAGGAGGAGGAGGAGGAGGAGGAGGAGGAGGAGGAGGAGGAGGAGGAGGAGGAGGAGGAAGAGGAGGAAGAGGAGGAGGAGGAGGAGGAGGAGGAGGAGGAGAAGGAGGAGAAGGAGGAGGAGGAGGAGGAGGAGGAGGAGGAGGAGGAAGAGGAGGAGGAGGAAGAGGAGGAGGAGGTGGTGTTGATGTTTAGGGAACGATCACTACGAACATGACTGACAAAGAAAGCGGACAAAATATACAGTTCCTCAGGTAGACAAAGGAACATCCCTTCACTGCTATTATGTAAAAATTTGTAGAACAGGTGTCACATGCATATTCACCTTTTTACATAATAGCAGTGAAGGGATGTTCCTTTGTCTACCTGAGGAACTGTATATTTTGTCCCCTTATTTGTCTGTCATGTTCATAGTGGATAGGGAACTTGCTACAGCGTAAACACGCAAATATTAAACAAAACAACACTCCATGCAGTTAAGTTGTTGTATTTTATCATCACATCTTTGGCTTAACTTGATTAGAAATAAAATAAACGCCTTGTGGATTATCACAGAAACAAGGCATTACAATAACAAAAGAGATAAATAGTGAGAAATGTTAGGTTGTT